TAGCAGCAGCGGCTCGAATGCAGATGAAGCCCCTGCCTCCTGCATGTCACCACGGGAGCGGCAGTGTGACTCACTGCCAACACTTGCCTGTTTGTCCTCGGCTTCTCCACTTTACCTCCTGACAAGGAAAATGAACACGACACAATAGGAGCACCCGTGGTCAGGCTCCAAATAGAACCCAAGTGCTTCAGAGCTTGGACTTTTTCAGAGCATCTTCTGAGACAACTACGATTCTTTCAATTCACTTCAGTTCGACAAATGCTCACTGGGGCTCTGTGATCCAGGAGCCGGGATGTAAAGAGGATGGGGTCTAGAGATGAGCCAGACTCAGCCTCTGCCTGCATGGAGCTCGTGGCTCACTGAATCCCTGCGGCCGACGCTGGTGGCTGCTAATAAAACTACCATCCTCAGCCCTCATGCATGTACTCCAACCACAGATACATGTTTTCCCGCCTTCCTCTTAGCTAGAAGTGCCACGCGACGGGGTTCCAGCTGGCAAGAAGTACAGGAAGTCTCGGGAGCCCCCAGAGAAGCTCAATTTCCTGATAAAAGGGGCAGGTGCAGCTGGCCTTCTCCTTTTCCTCCTCTTCCTCCCTTTAATGTGGATATGATGCCTGGAGCTGCTGCAGCCATTTTGTAATCATGAGGCACTGAGCATGCGGATGAAGAGACAGTGCACTGAGGAGGGCAGAATAAAGGATAGAGAGACCTGGGCTTTGATAGCCACAGATCGGCCACCAAGCCAGCACCTACAACTCGTCTACCATCAGAGGGCTAATGTGAGAAGAATATACTGCAATTTGAAAGTCCAAATTAGTTGAATTAAAACATTTTAAATTATTTGAGATTTCTGGTTTTTGCAGATAAAATCAATTCTCATGAATGCACCTCTTTTCATAAGCCTTTTGCCTACTGTTTCTGAAATTTAATTTAATTTAATTTTTAGTATTTTTTTATTGAATCATAATTGATTATGCATATTTTGGGGGTTGAACATTAATGTATGTTGATCAAATCAATATTATTAGCAAATATTATTACAAATTGTACTTATTCTTTATGCCCCTTATCCAATCTCTCCCTGAAGTATTATCATGAGGTTTTAAATCAGGTAATCATTGCATTAGTGCAGCGTTCAGTGCACATCCTCCTCCTCCTACCCGGGAGGAACCCGAGGCTCAGAGAAGTGCACTCCCTGGTGCACCTGGTTTATTAAAAACCGCTGGGGCAGAGGAACGTCAGAGGCTATGCACCTGCCATGTCCCGCCTCTCGCCTGTTGGCCTCTCAGGGCTGTGCAGAGAGGCCATGCTTACGCTGGACAGTGTGGAGCACTCGGGAAGGAGTCACAGAATCAGGGCAATTAAAAATAACTGGTTGCATCAGATATTTATAACATTGATGAAACCAGACCAGGGGCTCTAAACTGTGGGTGGGCTTCAGGGTTAGAAAAACACAGAAATGACATGCAAAGACGCTGATGTGCATTTTGTGGTGGTTCACAGGGTTGCAAACCAGACTTTGAGGCAGGCATGTTCTGGAGTGGGTTCAGATCTGCTGATACAGGCTGCGAGTTCCTGACAGCGAGCACCTAATCCCTCCACACAGGGAGGGTTATCTCAGCCCCACTCTTGGTGTTTGTGGAGACTTTAACGAAGGGCACTTAACTTAATTCACGATCTGGGAAAGTCAGGTGAGAAGTGGGCAGACAATTATGGGCTTTGATGGGACGTTTACACACAAATCAGAGGGCGTGGCAACGAGTCGACTTGACTGGTTGACTGTCTTCACTCGGCCTCCGCCTCCAAAGGTATCCTCCAGTGAGGAAAGATGCCCTGCCGCCTCTTCTGACAGCGCAGTGATGACCAGGGGTCTGCACAACTTGGCACCCGCTCCCACCATGGGCCACACCACACCTGGATCTGATAAAACCACAGGCAGATGAAGACTTCACCGCAGAGCGTCAGGCACAGGACCCCGGCGTCCCGCCTTCACCACCCAGCCCTCTACCCCGGCCCTCAGGATGTGAGGGTCTTGCCTGCAGAGGCCATGGTGGGTACAGGGACTGCCCGATAGAGGTGAGCACCGAGCCACTGGCTCCTTCCCCAGCTGTGACATTTACCTACAGGGACGGCCGCACAAGGCACAGCAAGCGGCGCTCTTAACCCAGGAGCCGCATGCGTGGAAACATGACCAGGCACCTGCTGAGCCGCGGCTGTCAGACCCTCAGCCCCAGACAACGGAGACTTGCCAAGACGCTCGGCCAGAGGTCTCAGGCCCCACCTGCGACTTAGCCGAGAGGCCCCAGTGATGACGCTGTTTAGTTTCAGGTGCCTCCAAACTGTGAACCCAGCCTACACATAAGCATTTACATACACACACACAGCACACACATCACATGTGCCACCACACACACCACACACACACACACACACACACCACACAGATCACACACACACCACACACTCCCAACATACCACCCACATCACACACACACACATACACCACACAGACACACCACACAGATCACACACATGCACGCCACACACACACCACCACCACATACCACCACACAAACACATAACACACATACACATCACACACACACACACCATGCACACACTCTGTCCCCTGCGTGGGCCACAGCACACCCTTCCACCTCATCATCTCCCCAGCCATCGGGGTGTGGTCTGCCCGCTCCCCTGGGCAGACCCTTGCCTTCTTCTTGACAGTGCGGGGAGCTCCTCTCTAGGGCAGCTGCCTCTGGCTGGGCAGGTGAGCAGCCCCTGCCCTTAGGCTGGGCTCTGGGACCCTCTGACCGAGCATCCCTGTACAACGTGTGCAGTTTCTGTGCTCACTAGTTTAAATCAAACTCACCTGCCTGACAACTGTCCTCTTCACAGACACCAATTGAGGGCCTGTGCCAGGGGGGTGCAGGGCCAGGGCCCTGCACAGCTGAGCTGCAGTGTGGCTGGTACAAGCTCTGCCACAGGGCAGGTTTATACCCTCTGGGCACCTGCCATGGCAGCACCTCCAGAACAGGGACTCTCACCAGCAGATATGCCCCTGGGGGGCCTTGCCAGTGTCTGGAGATATTCGATTGTCATCTGGTGAGTAGAGACCAAGGACGCTGCTTAACCTCCCCAATACACAGCACAGCACCCACAACAATGTTCTGGCCCCAAATGCCAGCAGTGCCCTACCATGGTGCAGACGCCTGCTACAGCTCGACCACGTTTTTAAGTGTCTGTGGTCTGAACGCACCATGAGTTATTTAAGGGTTCCCTTACTGATCAACATTTACCGTGTCTCCACGTCTTTGCTAAGCAGAAAGACCTCCAGCATTGTTCATACAATAACTTTTATGGTGGCACGGGCATGTCTGAAGGATAGATTTCCGGAAGTCATACTTCTGGGGAAAAGGTGTATGCAATTAAAATTTGATGGGCTTTGCCACAGTGCCAACATATTGCAGGATCTACCCTTTCGACTGCGCATGTGGGGCGCCACGCCACCTGGCCTGGGCTTTGCCGATTCTGTGCCTCACTAGTGCTGGGGACAGAAGGCGCCTCACCTACCTCGTGCTAACTGCGTTCAGTACATACAGAAGTGACAGGGGACAGTGAGGGACTGTTTTACTGCATTGTGGAGGAATGAAGGCGGGTCAGATAGTGGACAAAGACAACTGCAGTAGATGAGTCACTGAAAAGTTCATAAAGTGGAATTTTTAAATATCCGGTTACATGGTAGGAGGACTGCCATTTAATGGCAACTATGGGAAATCTTTTTGCAAAGGAAAAAATTATTTTGAACGTGAATCCGTAGAAAGAAATATTTGTATACATGATAAATCTGGATTAGAGGTTGAACGTGAATGTATTTGATTAGCTGAATACAATAATAACAATATGAATTCATGTGAACTACTCATTATTTTAAATGTGTCAATATTGATTTTAAAACACCACCTTGACCCCCTTTTTCCTAAGATCACAGTTACACATAAATAATCTCATATATTGGAGAAGTATTCCTGTGGAGTAGGACAGTACTTTTTTTTTTTGTCCTTTTTTGAGACCGGCCACACCGCGTTCAGCCAGTGAGCGCTGTGAGCGCACCGGTCATCCTTATATAGGATCCGAACCCACGGCGGGAGTGCTGCTGCACTCCCAGCACTGCACTCTCCCGAGTGCGCCACAGGCTCGGCCCAGGACAGTACTTTTGATATGAGCTTCATTTTTAATAACCGAATGTTCACAAATTAAGGCAGAAGACCTCTGAAATTAACACTGAATGGAAAAGTTAAAGGGCCTGATCTTCCCCTGGGGTTGAGACATGTGGAGAGAAGAGTCTTCCCCCCCCCCATAAATGAAATATTTCCTGATTTAACATGTGCCTTCCTTTCTTAATTATGTACCTTCTCTCCCTGAGGTTAGAGTTAAGAGAATGATAAAGATTTTGTTCCGCTCATTTACTTGTGTGACAAAACGACCTGAAAAGAACTCTGCTCATGTGCCGTGTGCTCAGTGACTATAGACCTACTCTTGGACGTCTCCATAACAGTCCCTAAGACCTTCCCAACCAAGTGAGCAAATCTCCAATAAATTCTCAAAAAAAAAAAGGAAAAGGAAACAGGACTTTATTAATATTAAAGTAAATCTGGATTTTAATAGATATTGAAGTTTCTTAATTTAAGAGGGATTAAATTAGAAGCAGCTCTTCAATTGCTCTATTCTTAGCTTATGAATTTCCAAAACTACGAGAAGTAAAATCAGTAGGAAAAAGTGCCACCGTTTTGTGTAAAACCAGTGATTTTTAGAAAATAGCTTATATTTCGGCAGCGTGGTTTAGAAATCATGAAGAGACCTCCTGTCCTCGGAGCCGAGACAGTGTGTGAGAGTACTTCCAGCCCAACTGAAGGACAGTTTTGGTGGCCTTGGTAAATCGTGCAGCTCAATGAGAGCTGCGCTGGAGTGGGGCGGGGGGCTCGCAAGCCTCTTACCCAGCCGGTTGCAGGGGTTCCGTTTGAAGAGGGCTCTCAGCAGGCTCTGGGCCTCTGTGCTCAGGAACTGAGGCATCCCCAGCTTGGCTCTGAAAAACAGAATCATATGTTGGGACCATATTTCAGGGTAAGAAGGACGAGCCACAGAGAGGCCCTTCTCAGTCAGCACAGAAGACCCATGTCGAAGTCACCCAGGGCAGCAGCGTTCACCGTTATGGTCTTAGGACCTTCTTACACTCTAAACGTTACGGAGCACGCCAAAGAGCTTTTGTTAGGTGGGTTATAGCTACCACACTTATTATATTAGAAAAACTAAGAAACTTTAAAATTACTATTTAATAATTTGCTTTTAATCAATAAAATGATTTTAGTAGCTAATAATAAAAATAATTTATTGAAGAATAAAAATAATTAAAAATAACAATCTCATTAACATAAATAACATTCTCAATGGAAATTATCTATTTTCTTTTTTTTTTTTT